GTTCAGTACTGAAGGTATTGGAAATGAGATTGATTCATCTATTTCAATGTAAAATAAGACTGAGAGAACAAATATGTTGTAAGTTCAAAGTTTATTAACTTCAATATCAAACAAAATTAAATATGCACAAAACTATACATTAGGAAAGAAGAGATTGCACATTAAGATCTGAAAAAACCCAATAAAAGATCATTATTGAAGCGAATTAATTAGAAAATAACTCAATTTCTCAGACACACTGTTCACTCCACCTTGTCTATCGATTATCTATTTAGAAATTAATTTTATTATGATGAGCTCATAAACTCCCTCTTATGAAAGCCTTTCCCACGTCGCAAAATTTATCTGTGCGTACAGATATGTACATGCGCTCACGGTATTGCAAAATTGTGTGAGAGTGGAAATGGCAAATTCATTATTAATATCGCATTTCGATAATTACACTCCATGGATCGAGAATTTGGCGCAAAATTCCACCAGTCACACAAATTCCATCGACTTTCCCCCTAAATCTTACCATGGAATGTGACTTTATCACTACTTCTGTCCCACTTTGATTGGCTTTCCATCGACCACATATATTTCCTTCGGCACCCTTATTGCTTTTGTTTTCTGCCTTCAAAGCAACCCCATCCTGTATCTCAACATATATTACAGGATTTTCAGACTGTTTCCCCGCAAACCTACATACATCACTTCGGAGTGGCGGCAGAAGGAGAATAGAGGGAAAAAACAGCACCGGAGCCCAAGAAAAACATCTCATGAGACAATACCTTCACGTTCTGTGGAGTCTTTTTGTAACAGAAGTCTGTGTTGTGGAATGTGATTTCTTTCATAATTGATTTTCGTTGCAAAATTGCCATCTTCAGAAAGCAAACCCGAGCGAGTGATTTCACCTTTCGCTCCCAACATCAAAATCATAAATTGAAAGTTCTTTTGCCATTGAGGGAACGTTTCCAAGCATCTCGATAACCTTTCATGTTCCAATAACTCTCATATACTATAAAATGTAATATATATGAATGATATTAAAAAGCCTCTGAAAAGTTTTCACATATCTCAAGAAATGTCACAATATATTCAACTGTCTTAAATATCCTTTTCCCGTTGATGTCCCACAAAATAGGGCACGTCACACTGTCTCGAGGGACGTTTCGTCAACCCGAGATAAGAGGGAATTGCTAAGATTCAAATAAAAGCATAATTAAATAAAAAATATCATTAGGATCATTAGTGCAGGAGAAGATAATGGCCTTGATGCGCAATCACGCTATAATTTCCTCAGAGGAGCTTTACATTAATTTAGTGATAATGCAGAAAAGTGACAAAACGACCCACCCACCGAGTCTCGTCTCCTCGTTCAATAATCACGACTCTCGCTGGAGCGGAGAAAATGTCTTGGTCGCGTTGTTGCTCCTTCGTCCTCGACTAGCAGCCACAGAAAACTTAGCAGTCTCAATCTAAATAACATCTTCATTTTGTTCTGTCACCCATGAAGAACATTAGAGACATATACGGCAATTGTTTGAACAGGCAAAATTTCTCAGACATGTTTTACTACTCAATTTAATTAATGTTATTTTATGCCCTCCTTAGAACGCACAATTTTAGGGATCAAACTGGGTAATTCCGGAAATACAATCGTTCCATAGCTTTAGTGGCTTTGGCGTTTTAACGAGTTTTCTTTTTTTATGTGTGAAGGAATATTGCTAGAAAAGCTTTTCAAGGCAATGAAATTCATTCACTTTTGGGGGCGCCGTTTTTTCCTCAATTTATTTATTTAAATCTTGCATTGAAGGACGCATGAAAGAATAGTATTTGATGAAAGATTAATTAAAACACATTTTCTACAGCTTTGCATGAATGGGGAAAGCTTACACAATCTATTTTTATCCCTATAAAAACATTAATGGAACGACATTCTGTACAACTGGCAGAAGGTATCGGAATGGGTTTTCATTTAGGTAGAAAATCTATTTTCTCACATCAAACTTTCCACACCTTTTGAAAATTTATGCTAAACAGACAACAATGCGTCAACATATGTTTGGGGTTTCTGGAGGGCGGAATATTGTAGATTACACTTAGCAGGAAGTCCTCATAGCGGGTGGTGGAACATGGAAGCGTCCTGAATAGTGAATTAGTGTGTTTGTTTCTCACTCACAAAACTTGTATTTTCCCATCCTGAAAAGTATGTACATACATATATCTACACAACCACAGAATAATTGCTCACTCTCTCTCTCACTCTCTGCAACAGGAAAGAAGTGACTGTTTCGCTAAAATTAATTTGCATAAGCAATTACGTTGGATTGTTCATGTGCAAAATTTCTTTTCTCCGCCGTATTCGAAGAGATTCGCTTGAAGCCACAAGAATAATGGCCAAATAGAGCACATCTGAGTGTTCTAATGGTAAATGTAAACAATACACGAGTGTGCACTAAATAAATTTCCAGTAAATCCATTCATGGAATAGCGTAACAAGATGATTGTAGTGACAATAAAAATTGAATGCAGTTTATATCACAAAATTTCTATTTATATGTCTCTATTGTGGAACCTTATCACACAAGAGGCACAAGCTTGAGCACAAAGTGAGTGAAAAGAAATTTGACAAAAAGCGTGAGTAAAGTGAAGTATTTCTAAAGATGAAATATGTCTCTATATTCTATGGCACTTTGTTCCGATTTGCGATAAAACTTTCTCTGTGTGCGAAGGAAAAAATAGCATTGAAGGACAAACTGAGAAGTTCAAATAAACAACATTATGATTCTATGACTTGGTGCAGACGCTGTGTTTGCGGAGGAAACATTTTTCAATTACTCAAATTCAATGGCACTGAAATGTGTAACAGTATTACACCCCATTATTCCCCCAAAAAGCATCGCCAATTTTTATGGCATAGCAGTTATTTTTGAGCAACCTTAAAGCCATGCAAAATGAACGATGGATTATGTCGTCTTAAAGCAGAACATTGGAAGATGCTGGCAGTACAAGATGCTCATTTTCGACGAAAAAGCGCAAACGTTATATACAAATGGAAGTGGAAAATAATAAGAAGTCTTGTAAAAGTGATGAAAACAGAGGCAAAATATACGTATTTTGCCGGAATGCTAACAGAATACATGACATTTCATCAACCATTTTTGTGCGTTGAAGGAATGAAAATGACAAAAACGGACTCCACGGAAGCTAATATTTCATCTCTTGCTTAAACATGCCCCTAATGTCGGCAGCATTATAGGGAGATTTTGGAAACAATAAGCTTGTACCCTAGAACGAAATGTTAGTCATGGCAGGGATTCATTTGCCTAACATCATCAAGGTGAAATGTGAATATTATATTAAATCACCGGAAGCGAATAAATCTGCCTTTCTGCCACTCTTCGACATTCGCATACCCAACTTTCACAGTCCATGAATATTCAAGCGACATGCATAGATATTACAAATTCGCGTGGAAAATTAAATTAAACATCTTGTGTGCTTGTGAAATATTATTTTAACTTTGTACACTTCAACGGCACTCCAACAAATTCTTCACAGCAAATGTTCTGGAGCATGTTGAATTTTTTTTTTCCCCAATCCTTATTCCAATTCTCGCGCTTACAAACTAATCCCCAACGGGACGATGATTAAGCAAAACTTCACTCAGTTCTCTGCCACTATGACTCTCATTTAGAATGGGATTTTAATAAATGATCCAATAATAAGATATTCATAAGTTCTCGGCTCGCAAGAGAGTTTTTCCGGGAACATCAAATATAAATAAAATTTCAATTGAATACAACGGTGCCAGGATATGTGATGCCATATAATTTATTAACACATTTCCAACACATTTTTACCTTTTATTTATTGTTCACCGTGCTCCACGTTCAACAATGTAAAACAATAAATTACACTCAAGAGTAGCGTTTAACCACTTGAATTATTGAGCTTTAAAGCTCTGTCTCTTCTCCCGCATAAAATAATCATTCCACCACGCACACATATGTTGAAATATATGTACTTTTGAAATATGAAAAATGCTTTAGCAAATCCCTTTCCGAGGCAAATTCTTTCACCACTTGACCTCAGTCCTTCCTAAACCGACTGAATGTGTAAAATTCCTCTCGCTAATCGCATAAGTTGTATATAAAAAAAAATTTCGTTGGAGGTTAATCTTTTTTGCTTTGTTACGTAAAAATCGCAAAATTCGTCGAGAAGGAAAATTGGATTTTATGGATTTAAAATTTCATTTACACAATGGAAAATGTTCTAACATTCAGAAACTTTTTGCCTCCCAATTTTATTTGATTGGGTAATTGAGCGAGAAATATTATTACAGGTATTTTCATTCCATTTTCATTGTATATTTTTCTAAAAATGCATTAGGAAATATGTATAATACCAATAATAAAAAAATAATTTTTCGTGTCACAAATATGAAATCGCTATAGAATTTTCAACACAAAAAGCACAATCAGTAAAATGCTGAACTCATTTAAAAAAACCCCTCTGAAAAAATTACAAATTTTTAATCAGATCACAATCAGTAAAAAAAAATGTTAATAATTTTCACGTGTTTCCTGACCTGAAAAAAAGTTATTTGCATTATCAGTGAACCATATGATACACGATTATGTCCGAGAGTTTGCTTAAATTAAACATACAATCGCGCAGAATTACGATGAAACTATAAACCACTTGCAAAATCACCATATTTTTTTTTCAATAAAATGTACTTGGTGGTTTTTATATTTAACATTGACAAATCAATTGGAAGGCACTTTTCAGACTCATAATCGATTTATCAACAAAAAATCCGAATGATGGAAATTTATTCCCGGACTTTTAATTAACCTATACATCGTTTTCATGTGAAAAATATATTATCGAAGCGGAGGAAAGAAAACATGGATTTGTCATGGCATGCATTCCCTCTACGAATTCATGGAGGAAGTGAAATAACGACGACGAAGCGATAATAAAAAAAACTGCACATATTTACACAGCAGAATGATTTCTATTAAATAACATTCATAAGTCATCAGTGACAAAAAATTCATTTTAGCATTTAAAAGCATTAAAGGAGCAAGAAAATTACTTCAACATATTTTGTAAGAATAATTCACATTTAAATTCAATCAATTAATCGGATTAAAAATTTTAGGATAAAAAATCGCTTCTACTTCTTACTGTGTTGCTGAATCTTAGTCAAATGTCTGTTTATATTGGCAGTGTTTAGATCCTTGTTTTGAGCGAAGAATTCTGCTTTTTTCTGCAACTTCTCCTACACAGCAAAAGAGAGAAAGAAGATAGACGATATGAAAAGTAATCACGATTGATGGTTGAGATATGGAGATTCTATTCCAATTACAACATTCTAGTTTTAGTTATGAATCCAAATGCCTAAGCAAAATCCTTTTCAGCATCAAATCTATTTCTTATCATATCCCAAATTCAAAATCCAATAATGGATACCAATGTTAAGTGATTGGATTACATGTTGATCCCCAAATCCATTCCTTGCCATAATATAATACAGTAATATTTGAATGGAATTTGTATTCTGGAGCACGAAGAATATGGTTTCGGATGGTAAATTTAAATTAAAGAGAGGGACACACTCTTCAAGAGCCCAGAGATTTAAACCCCACAACATTGAAATATTTTACATTGGGGAGATAGTTTTTGTCCTCTCGAAAGTGGAGGACTGTTCAGGGTGAAACTTTTTGAAACTATGTTACCACAATATTTCTCATGTCACTTTATTTTTTCGCCAGTTTTGAGGCAAGGAAGTCATTTAAATATGAAGTTGGCAAAAAATTGAATCATATTTCGAAACAAACCATGTACAAATGATCAAAACAGAGTGGAGACCAAGTCGAGAGACAGAGTAAAAGTAAAAGGCATTAACCGCAGGATAAAAATGCTAAATGACAGTGGTGTGAATGAGAAAAAAAAGGTCAACAAAATGTTGTCTAGGCAAATTACCTTCTGTTTTTGCTTCTCCGCGTCACAAGGATTAGCACGGGCAGGTGTACTTAATTCGTCATTGCCCTTCTTTCTGTACTTCCTCAGCTTTTCGTTGAAAAGTTGCCACAATTTTGGATTAAAGTCATCTGCAATGGAGAAAACATGTACATGATTATTTTTAATCACCCACAAAAATGTCAGAAGGCCAAAAAGCCAGGTAAAGTAATAAGTACAAATATGCCCTTCATACCGAGCCACATTTTGATATATCTCTCCACAGATGCTATAGTTTCCATCTCATTAAGCACAACCCGCAATCCTTCAACTGCAAGAGAGGAAAAACGGAAGAAAAATGATTTATACCCTTCAATTACACAACGCCAATGCGCCATTTCAATCATCCTTACTATTCAACTTATTTTCCGAGATGTAATTTAAAGTATTCAGGCACCACTCAGAAAATTCCTCCACTCCATCCTTGTGCACCTTCGCCACCTCCTTTTTCTTCACCTTCGTGCTCTCCCCAACATACCCGACCGGATATTTGTTCGTCTTCTTCACGGGGGCCTTCGCTGACGGTGGCTGCGGCACTGTCTCCCAGAAACTTTTTATCTCGCTCCTCTTGTCGCCACCATTCATACCGCCGTCTTTATTCATTGACACCATTTTTGCAAAAGAAATATCCTTGTTATACTCCTGTGAAAGATAATAAAACGAAATGTTTTCACAATAGATAAGGCAGAATTTGATACTTTCTCCACTCTTCAGGATTAATTATAATATTCTTTTTAAAACCCCCGCGTTGAACTTATTTAATTACTTAATGATACCCCATCTTTGTACATGAATAAATCCTCAATTATACCACAGCATTGCCCATCATGTCATTATAACACTACAGCTGACATTCTCCTCAGAGCCTGAGAATAGAGGAAACTTTAACATCACTCACAAATCAAGCAAGAAACTTTAACTAACTTTCTTATTCAATGGATTAAAATTGAGATGAAATCAATACAAACTAGAGATAAGAACTTGAAGTTTATGAGACGCTTCAGTATTTTAAGCAAGAAAAAAACCCCATTCTTCTCCTTTACAACAGGAACCATTATCTATACAAAGTTTCCAGACATTTTCAGTAAATGTGAGGTGGTGAAAATCGTAAAAAGCTTCACGTTTTCACTAAAGTTTATCTCAAGTGCGGGTGGTCCCTCTGCTCTCTTCTCTCTTTCTCTCAACTAATCTAGGTCAAGATACTTTCATACGAGGGACAGATTTCAATTCAAGACATTATTTGGGATGGAAAGAACTGCACACAACTCATTCAGAGAATACAACCAAGATTTCGATGGATTCTCAAGAATGCTCATAAATTCACCATACCTTCCACTTGGGGATTTGGCAGTGAAGTGAAATGGAATTTGTGGCAATATAATTCCTCTCATGTAAATTAATCACAGAAAAGTTATTTGAAATTGGATTACTTTTGCCTCAGCAAATGTAAATTCATTGTAAGTTAACAGGAACAAATAGGAAAATCTGATAGAACTTCAGTTTGGATACATTAAATTAATTGAATGATCCGAAGGTGGAATGTATAGCTAATTATCTTATCGAAATCTCCCAACAGATTGAATTCTACACAATATATCACTTTTATTCATGGCTCGTGGCATTCTATTCAGATGCGTAGCACAAAGAGCACCATTGATTATGTACGTATAAATAAAACTTATCTAATTTCAAGTTAAAAACTTCCCATTGCATTTAAGAAACACTATTTGACTTATACAAATACCGCTTCTGAGGTAATTCAACTCGAAGCGGTGGTGGAAATTGATAAGATAAGCTGAATACTGAATGCAGAAGTGCACTATTATGTCCTAAAGCTTTGGGATATGTTCTCGACATTCACGAATATACGCTGCTACTGCAGAGATTTTATTGCCACTTAAAAATCTCTGCAAACCATTACAAAGAATACTTTAAAAAAAAACATAACATGAGGTCATAAAATAGAACAATGCTATAAATACTAATGAGGCAAGGACATTCCGTTTTATCCCACAATTCATTTTGTTCTATTATTTTGAACTAGACTTAAACTCACCACAGCTTTCGGAATGTCTTTCTTCGCGGTTTTAAGCTGTTCATTAGACATCTTAAGCTTCTGGTTCTCCGTGTGCAGTTGCTGTAGCTTTTTAGTGGTGAAATTCATACGCGTCTGAATAGGGTTCTCACTAAATTCCCCCATGTTGTTGTCCTTATTGTTCGGATGGCTCTCTCGATACGCTTGGTATATTTCTTCGACAATATTTGGCTGAGAGCGCTGCGGAGAAGGATTTCCCGTGGCACTCTGTAGCGGTAAATGGTAATTGGGTGGGCGGCCGTATGAATTGTGAGCGCGAAGATCCTGACCGCCGAAGTATTGTTGCGGTAGCATATTTAGGGCCCGATATGGTTCACTCTGGGGCGGCGGCCCCATAGGCCTCATCGGCGGAAACATCATATGCGGAGGAGGCGTGGAAATGTAGTAAGGTAGTGGCTGCCGAGGCGGTGGCGGCATATACATGTAGTAAGGAAGCGGAACATGGCGAGGGATCCACTGTCGTCCATCCCAATAAAGCTCGCCGCTCCTCAAGCCGAAGTTCATCTCGGGCAGGAGTTGAGATGAGTCGAGTGGCTCCTTGTTCTCCTTACCAGATATCTCGTCCACATTATTCTTCTTGTCATTCTTGTACGGAATGTAGTTCAGAGGATTGGTGGGAGTCACTTTCTGAAGTGCAGCCAGTTTCTTGTAGACATCAGGACCGTTGTCGTTCATTTCTATATCAATACCAACATCTCTATACCCGGAACACTTCTCGTGCGTTTGCGAACTATCCGAATCATCAGAATCAGCTTGAGTGTTTTCCATGATTCCACTAGATTCATCATCGTCAGAAATATCATTTCTTTGCTGAGCATCAAACTCTTTGGTTTCATTTTCTATCTCTTTGGCCTCTTTGCTTTCATTGTCTTGTTTTCCCGAAGATGACTTTTTCTGTGAATTTGCCTCCTTTTCCTGATTCACCTTTTCTCCATTTGCTGTGGCCGTGTTATTGCCATTCGGCCTCTCAATTGGAGTTGATGTCATAACATCTTCATACTCTTCGAAATATCTGAAGAAAAACAATCGAAGATCACTTCAATTTCTCCACCCTAATAAGCAAGCCTCGGAAATGCACACATTTTCTTACCTCTCATTGTCGGAATCACTGTGCTCTGAAGGATCCTGTACAGGCTCTTGAATCAGAGGCTCGTCCTCCTCATCGAAATAAATCCAGAGCGGATTCCGTTTGTGGATTCGCAGGAAATTCTCGAATGATATCTCTTTCTCGGATCCGTAGCGCCACACAGTGGTGTGGCGATGGAAAAAGTTTCTCCAGCGCAGCATCTTGGCGGACGGAAAGGGGCCCTGGATTTTCCCCACCGGATCGCGGTAGCACCACATCTCCAGCTCCTCCCTCGACGTCTCGCTCTCGCTGTTGTGCTCATCTTCGTTCTCCGGTGGCGAGACGAGGACAAAATTGTCTTCAAACATTGACATTGTGGGTAGTGGAAATGGGTTAAGATGAGCTGTGAAATGACGGAAAAGAGCCGTGTAAATTCATTGTTTCTGGAAGACATGTTTATGACGCGACCTTAGGCTAAATTTTCATGAAAAATCTCCGGCTCTGCAGAGTCATTACTTCAATACAGGAGTAAAAACCTCGTAGGGCACAATCTGATGGCTGTATTTTCTCAAATTTTCACTAGCACACAAGGAAATATTACAAGGAAAAGTATGAAAATTCTGGATTACACAAAATCACCGCTAATACTGATCGGATCGCAGTAAAAAATGTTGAAAATGGTGGGGGAGTGGTGAAAGTCCGAAGAGTGGTGAGTTTTAATATAGAATCGATGAACATAAAATACAGTTTAACCGAATGAAATTTTCTGAAAAATATTGAAGAATAAGAAAAGCATAATATTCGTGATGTTATAGAATTATTTTCTTTTTCCAGTGTTGAGCGAGTGCATGGAATTTTCCTGATTAAAAAGTTTGATAGGTTTGATACCAGATGGCACGTCGTGTGTTTCTTCGGTGCTTCTTTGCCTTCTTTGCAAATGATGTGTAATATGAAGCAATATGTGCATTCGGCGCATTAACATGATTTTCAACTATTACTTCACATCTTCCCTTGACGAAATGTGCACATTCCGCCGTCTATTCCTTCTCTCACCCTCTTTTTATCCCCAGAAGATTCAGCTGGTAAGTGATATAAGTGGAGACGATATGTGACTAAGAGCGCATGTTAAAGCGGCTTTTTATTTTTAAGAGACGAAATCTATTCGGTAAAGCAGAGATGTGAGAGACTCAGCTTTTTTATATTGTGTCCAGGGTGACTATGGTGTCTTTGATACTCCTGATTTGAATTCTCATTAGCCAATTTTATCAGTTCACTGCAGTTCATTTCTTTGTATATTTCTAGTTATGTAAACAACATATTGTTCCCGTAATTACTATTGAGCTCATTACTATTGATTTCATTTATTTTCTGTGCTGGGCGAATATTTTTCAGTGGATAAGACGTTATCAAATCTCAGCGACTTTTACACTGTAAAAAATGATTGGACAGGTGATTAGAAAAGTGAGGTTGCGTGTTGTCGCTGAGTGGGCGTATTGTTTTGGAAATTAATCTGGGAGGATGACTTCGTCTTCAACCTTTGAATACACGTACAAGGACTACAATGGAACGCAGAAAACCATCAAACACCAAGTGGAAATTCCCTACAAGGAGGATTACGCAGAATTGGCGCACAGAATTGTGGCTGACATGGACCCAGTGATGAAGTACTTGGACGCAGATGTTGGTCAGTATTGGCGGCTTCTCAGGAGTTTCCAGTTGTTAAATTCCACTAATTTCAGAACTAAAAGTGGCCCTGAAGGCATTTGTGGAGCGAGAGAATCAGAACTTCTACGACAGACGGGATGAGAATCTCTTGGCCAAAGCCAGAAATGGTCAAGTTGACGTGGAACATCTTGTAACGGAGATGGACAAACTGTACAAGGAAGAAGTACTGGAGTTCGCGGAGAGAATTGGTCCCACCGATGAGGAGATATTCGCTTTGGCATTCCATCAAATGGTCCACTCACCATTGCTTCCGGACATTCTGGCGAAAGAGCAAAACTACGCGAAAAGCATCTCAGAACTGAACACTCGGATGTATGAGGAGATCGATGACCTCAACAAGAAGCAGGCTGCGGAAATGGACGAGAAGGTGCAGCAGCTGGACGTGTCCACAACATCCGAGGATATCAATGCCCTTCTCTCGCAGCACTATTCGAACCAAAACCTCATCCGGAAGCGCTGGGAGTCGACGCTGGAGGCGAAGCGAGGACACCAGAAGCACGAGTACAGGAATTGGGTGACTAGTCAAGTGGGTGAGGCTCTAATTAACAATCCCACGGCAATGCCCTGCTCCTCGACTCCCATCGGCAACAAATCCTCTATGTTTGTCACCCAGAATCTCTCCATGGAGGAGAGCTTCACGATTCACTTGGGCTCTCAGCTCAAGCACATGCACAATATCCGCATCCTGAGTGCGGATGTGACGGATTTCTGCAGTCCTCTGCATAGGGATGAGAAGTAGGGAGATTTCAGTATGAGAAATTGGACAGAATACATCTAACATCTCTCTTTCCTTCCAGTTTGAATGGACTGAACATGGCTTTGGGGCTGTATTCGAGCTCTTTGAGTGGAATTGTTGTTCTCACGCCGCCAGGATCTGTTCAAGTACTGCCGAAGATCATTAAGAATGCCAACATGTCAACGGAATTCCACTTCGATCAGGTAATTGCAGGCTTTCGAGGTGAAGAAATCACTCAAAACCAAGATATTGGCTAAAGAGACATGAACATCTAGTGAACATCTGCTTATTCGCCCTCCAAATGTTTGGGTAACAAAGAAACAAGCTGTGAACTACAATTTCTGCTTTCACAACCATTCATAAAACACTGATAAATCCATTTTGTATAGTACGAACAAACACATATGCTGGAAAAAATTATTGATAAGTCAGATAAGATATCAAATTGGTGCGATTTATGATACAAGGAGAATTGGAAAGAAGTTTCGAAATTGTTCGGGTGTAAATGTGGAATTCTAAGAGATTCAGAATCACTCCTTTGTCAAAGATCATTTGATTTAAGCTCACTTGAGTCTTACCTCTGAATATACAGCAATTCAGGTGGCGAATAGCAAACTCACATGAATCCTTGAATGACTCTAATTTCGCAGAGTTTCCGCGTTGGGCACACACTCTCACAATCACTCTATGAATTGCTTCTGAAGCTCAATTTTCAGACTGAGCCAAAAGCTGACTTTGCAATCTAGATGTCTAGAAGAGAGTGAGAGGAAGAAGTTGACGTCGTCAAGTACTTGTACCCCTGTTGCACAGCGTGATTAAGAAAAAATGCTCGCGTTTTCTTTGTACTATCAAAACATCTTATCAAATTACAGCCCATTTACCGGATACGTTGAGAAAGGCTTATCTTCAACATGCAGTTTATCTGCTTGTCTTTCAGATTGAAAACCAAATAGAGCGTATCGAGGAGGATCTGCGCAAGGGCCAGAGTGAGAGTGGCGGAGGCTCGGGCGGAAGTCCAAAGCTGCATCCTGGAGACTTCTTCATCACTCGCCACTCAAATCTCTCGCAGACTCACGTTATTTTCCACTTGATATCTGATGAATCCTCTGACAGTCCGGGCGAGATCACGTCACGCCATCCTGTGATTCTGGGCCTGAGGAACATCCTTAAGACGGCCTGTCGTCACGATATCTCCATGCTCACAATTCCCGCGCTGCTGCGCCACGAGATGTCGGAGGACATGACGGTGCCCTGGTCAATCCGGCGGGCTGAGCTGGTGTTCAAGTGCGCCAAGGGATTCATGATTGAGTCTGCGACCTGGGGAGGCACTGAGATAAACACCCTGCAGCTTCTTCTGCCGCACAATATCTCTGAGGAATTGTTCACAACGCTGGCCGGCATGGTATCGGGTGTTTTTCGAGTGGCGAACCCGAAGATTTTGTAAGAGAGCATCGCGCTCATCAGTTTGTATTATCGCGCCAACTGTGGCTCAGTGATATTATACTCTACACACTTTTCTTACTCTTTCTATACTCTTCTGAGATTAAATGACGCGTAATATATGGTCACTTGTCGCTGAGTTGAAGAGAGGGGAGGCGCGTGGAAAAGTGACAACAAAAACATCTTGACATTCGGCAAAGCGATTTGTGTTATGAAATACATCAATTTACTGCATAATTCGTGTTAAAGTAATAACTTAGGATCACATTTAATGGTTGTAATATGTTTTTGTGATAATTGAAAGAGGATTTGCTGTGAAATATGGTGAGATTTCAGCATTATTAGTGCAACTTCTTCGGGTTAACCTCCAACATGGCATCAATTGTGGAAAATCAATAGATTTTTTCACTGGTTATCGGCATTATTTATTCACTTTGCCTAATCACATTTACACCCCACGTTCAGTGGGGAGGTTTATGGGCATTCTCAACCACCTGCCCATTGATTTTTTTCACACTCACACGCAGAGGGAGTCGACAGAAAATGCTCTGTGGCACAAGAAGAGCTCGAAAGTGTTTTACTTGGATTTTTTTTCTCTCTTGTGAAAAGCATTGAAAGATGTGTGTTTTGTCGTTGCAGCAACGGTAAATACGTAAGGAGGGGGTGAAGGAAAATGGAGAACATTAGACTGATGATGGGCGTATTCAATGATACGTCCGAATATTCCTCGACGTCGGACTCGGATGAGCAGGAGGAGGAGGAAGTCGCAGACAGTTTGCTGCTTTCCGGAAGGAGTCAGACAGCCGATAGCTCGCTTTTCCGCAGCGATGGTGATAGAAGAATGCCTCAGAATATCATTAGGAAATTACTCAACAGAGAGGTGAGACTTTCGCACTGAGATTTCGCTGATTTGCCATGATTTTCACTGTGTCTGGATTTTAGCGAACTGGCTGTTTTAGCAGCAATGGAAGGAAAATTGCTAAAGAACCACCTTTCAAGCATGTCCCGAATCGCCTGGCGTTCCACCTCAAGGAGATCGTTCCGTATTGCTACCTTGATGACCACGTCTTCATGGGCTTGTCGGCCTGTGGCCAATTCCTGCTCAGCTACAAACTCTCGTACGACGAAGAGTCCATCAATCACTACAACTTCAGTGCTCCCTACAAATACGAGTGAGTTTCCTGCCTGTATTTCTGTCACAGCTTCTGTAATGTGTGACTTTCAGACTCTACTTCTGGATCTATCGTCCGCACTGTATGCTCGTGAATTACTACAAAGTCTGCCTGTTTGACGATCACGGAGTGGACAACATGAAGACTGTCACGATGACTCAGTGGCTCAGTGATTCCCACTTGCTCATCGTGCACGGCGCGAGTGCGTCCTTTCAAGAGGATTCCTACATAACAATAGCCTCAGTGCCGAAACTCGGTTGCCGCGACTGCATTCAATTGCGCGACAACGAGCCGGACAAGTACTTTGCCAGCGGAAGTCTCTGCATCAAGTGCAACTTAACAATCCACACAAAGTACGGTCGACTGGATTCTGATCCCAAATTCGATCCGAAACTCAATCTCAACTGCCCAGAGCGCATTGTGATAGTGGCCAATGGGTTCATTCACGCGGTCAATGTGAAGCTGGAGATGAACAAGGTGGAGAAGAGGTTCGCCGGATGCGCAGAAGTGCGCGGAGCCTTGGAGAGGGTGCGAGAGGTGCAGCAGACGAGGGCGGAGCCTTCGAGAGTGGAGCCCAAAGTGGCGAAGCAGCAAGAGGATGACGCCAAGTCGATAGTGGCGAAGATAATAGCTGACTTTGCCGAATGTGAGACTGAGACGGTGCCTCTGGAGAAGACAATGATCTTCTCGAGAATCGACAAGTCCGTCCTTGATGATAACAGAAGCTTCGATGAACTGATTATAACATGTGGCAGCGCAACTACTTCGTCCGCTGCCAGCTGCAACAGCGTGCTGACAGGTGAATATGAATTCATTCTCTGGCCAACTCTCAATTAACTGGAACTTGCCAGCAAATTATCAACTCACTGAATTTGTGGGTTGGACGGAAGTTCCGGAAAACACTTTGGGTGTAAACAAGTTTTAGTGCTATTGTAAAGTTATCTTTTGAAGCTTGATGGGCGGGGAAAAATGGTAACTTTTGGGTGTGACTGGAATTTAATTATCTTCGGAAAAGTTTTACAGTTTTCACCAACTTTCCATCACTTTTTCTGTGCCATAAATTAAGGAGGGTATTTAAGGGATATTTGATAACTTTTGAGAAGCATTACAAGCACATTTACTACTCACGTAGTTCCAAAATATTTCCCATTGACACAAAAGTCACAAAACACTTTGCAAATGAAGGTAGAAAATCTCACTCAACTGTTCACTATGAAATCCTGCAGCTGAATAAGGTAACCTTATGAAAGGCAATGTGAAATTTCATCACTTTACAGCACTTCTTTGATCGCCTTTCTGCGGGATTGCATCTTTCTTCTATGCATTTTTCCTCTCTTATTTTATTTATAGTTCGTTTATTTATTCATATCCTTTACCCGACGATAAAAATGCGTACTTCCCTTGTAAATTGGCTTTATTAGCTCCACCTTATTTTTAAATAAACACAGTTGAATATATTTTCAACAAATATAATATGATGTTCCCTTTGTAACAGTAGTTTATTGAAATTAATATGATAATTCAATGGTTATCTGCTTTTCAGGGGGTCTTGAGGGTGTTGTGGGTGCAAGTGGTGGCGAGGATGGCGTGGGTCGCAATGGACTGAGTCAGCGCAATTACCAGATCACGGCAAAGCAGACGCCGCGTCAGATGTTGCGCAGGAATTGCTGGAAGACCAGCAAGATCACCACCGTGGATCTGCAGGGCAGCTCTTCGGGCTGCAGCAAGAACATGGATATCGCTGCAAAGACTTACGAGTTTTCGGAGGACAATGAGAAGTGCGAGAAGATCAGCTTGTTCCGCAAGAGGCGCTTGGCGGACAAGAAATATGAGTTCTCTGAGGACAATTCCGAGAATATCATCCCGTTCAATCGACTGAGAGCGGGAAAAGTGCGCAAATCGTCACCGGTGAGCGGAGGAAGTTGCTCGTCATTCAGCACATCGCCGCCCAACTATGCTTACGAGATGCCGTCTCACTTGCACAGAGCGTCACCAAGTCAGGGATTCCGATCGCCTTGTGGCTCTCCGGTGGGAAATCGCTGTCTCCGGTCGCCTCCGATGCGCTCCTACTGTTTCAATCCGCGCTCTCCGACGTATGCCAAGCCTTTCGGGATGCTGATGTCGCCCAGGCAGCGAAGGCCGGGCTCCTCGGCGGGCGGAGGGCTCTTCCTGTCGCCCAAGCGGGAGTGCACGACTCCCGAAGTGGGCGATCGACCGCTATGCTCGAAGAAGTTCGAGAGGCGCTACGTGGAAGAGGACGACGCGGCGTCAGTGATCACGAGTGAGGAGGATGACTGCATCTCACCAGGCTACCACTTGTCGCTGCCCATGGAAGTGCACGGCTCGTGCTACTCAGACATGCAAATGATCTCGCAGACGTCCTATCAGCGTCTTCAGTGTCCTGCCGTCGTGATCACGCAGAACTCCATTGATCTGGAAGCGCTCACGTTTCACGTGGCCAATCACTTGTGCCAGCGCCATGACAAGCAGTACGGCGTGTTCTACGACTGGGCGTGCGAAGTGGTGGCGCTGTGTCCCTTCAGTGGACGCCTCACGTGCCTCCTGCTGGTGCACTTCACGGCCACGGAGAAGAACAGGACGGCCTCTTGTCTCACATGCGCCGCAGCTGTGGATTGTCTGCACCATAGACGCCAGTTTCACGCCAGCACGCTATTCACCTGGGACACGGAGACGGGAGAGTGGAATGTGGAGGATTACGGAGATCTCAAGGAAGTGGACAAGCCCTCGGCCGGCGTCAAGGCGTCTCCAGCTCTCAGCCTGCAAGCGTTCGAGTTGGGCCGCGAGTTGAGACAGCGTCGCCGGGACATTGAGGTGGGAAGTGAGCATCTGCGTGTGTTGGACTCATGCAATGAAAAATCCAAAGAATCCCTCAGTGACACACGGAACTGCGTCGAATTCTACCGCACGAGTTCGTCACCGAGGCGCTCAGGATACGGCGACAGCTCCAGCGAGGCTGTGTCTGGCGACTCTGAAGATGAGGCTGTTGCGTTCTTTTCCAGACTTGCGTAGGCTCTTGTGACAATTTGAGATTTTCCGTGTGATTTTTCATCATTACAATTTTATCTAGTATTTAATCAATAAATGCGACAGTCAAGATTAATTGTGGTTTTTTTTTATAATATTGTCATTCACATTTACATGGGTAAAAAGAGTGCTAATTTCCCTCTAATTCTCTCATTATAATAAATTGCTGAACGTTTTCTCGCTAGCACAGACGCAAATGACATTCAGCACTAAAGTGAGAAATTTTCACCTGCGATATCAATCACATTGCGATGTAAAAAGTCAACTAATCAGCTCACAAAGGTGATAATTATCGTCACTTTACAAGTGTTTCATCCTTGAGAAGGTCGTTTTTTGCCGCCTCACATGCAAATTTGCCTAATTTTGAGTATCATCAGTGTTGAGGGTTTTGCTGTTGACGGCAATTTGATGCACTTGAGAAACACCTAATCAGGAAAGTGGCAATTCCATTGACTCAAGACCAACTCCAGTGTTTAACAGTCACTCCAGTAAGTAAACATTGAACGCCCAGTGTTTTCTACAACTATGCTTTTTATTCCTTTTTTCCTTTTTATAATAAAATACATAAATTTTTATAAAAACCTATTCGTAAAACAGCGCTCTTCGTTTCCATCGTGTTATAATTTAACAAATTTATGCAATATTTACAATAGCTTCGCACTTGAGAATCACCATTGCAAAAACATGAAAACTCGCTCCTCTTTTCACCTCATGTCCTCATCAGTCCACAATCCACTCTGGGGATGTGTGAACGTCCCGTGAAGACGGAAAGGAGGATGAATTTACAACAATTAGTGGCTTCTCTCTGCGAAATCTCTTACAATTAGTATTCTTTTCTTCTTACTTTCACAATGACTCCTGTATATTGTAAGTTTTCAGCTTGAAAATCAAAAGAAAAAAAAAAACATATCCGAATGCATATAAATCTAAGAAAATAAAATTTTTCACTAAAATAAGATTCTATTTAAGAAGACTAAAAAAACAAGGTTTTCTCTTCCCAAGCTAAACGACAAAATGTTTTAGCAGTGGAGTTAATTACAAGATTTAATATATATAATTTTAAATGTGAGCAGTTTTTATCTTCCAACACTTTCTCGACTTGTTCTTCTCTTTTCCTTATAATTTTCCACATAAATTTTTACTTTTATTTTCCTCTTCGGCACACTAAACTAAGAAAAATTATTGCAAAATGTTTTTTTTTTAGTTCATTAGTTGCTTCTTCTCATCAGCATCATTATCGTCTAATTTTTTTTTCTTTATAAATAATTCAATTGTTTTCTCAATTATTTTGCAAATTTTTTCACTTATGCCCGATAAATTCCGTCACCAAAAAAGTACTTTTGATATGCCATTTTTTTTCCTCTTTTACTTTATTCGTCCAAAGGGTTCTTATCAATGGAAGCTTACTTTTCATTTTTTTTTAAACAAGTTTAGTTACAACACTTTTTTTTGTACTCATCATTGATAAAATTTTGGAAAAGCAAAATTTCAGCACCAATGAAGTGATCTCAAAATCATAGTTTCAACAGAATGGAAATATTAATTAATGGTCTTTATATGAATTTTTCGGTGCACATTTGATTGACTGTAGAAAAAATCTCCACGCCTCAAAATCATCTTCTGGTTTTTCTGGTGGAAAATGGCTCGTTTTTTTTCTGCATCCAAGAAAGTCTCCGCGGCGCAATTGCATCTCCAATCAATTCCCCACCATTTTTTTCGTGTGTTTTAATTACATAATTAATATAAATACAATGTGTAATGTTTCTGGGATTGAATTAATTTTCTTTCTCTCGAAGATGTTTTTCACAGCCAAATTTGCGAAACAGTGTGGATATTTTATGCTTCTCTTCCATCCACTTTCTCCTTCTGGCAGGACGAAAGGGCGGATGTAAAAATGTGTTATTCGATTAGACAAAATTATTCTGCTTTCTTCTCTTCCTCTCTCCCTCTCTCTTTCTCTGACCCCAACTAACAAAATGTAAGTAATTTCTGCATGCTGTAAAAGAATCCCCCTTCCACAATGTTGCCTTTTTAAACTCACAATCATCTCTCAGTGGTTCATTCTCAACCTGGCGGATAAAATCCATATGATAAATGATAAGTTCAAATAAATCATTGAGAGGTTCAACTTCACAATTTCTTTAAATATTGCTTAACACTTACAATTTTTACTTAATGCTTATTCTCTACTGATTCCTAAATATTAGTTGGTTTTTCTCCCTCTGTTTTTTCTGCTGTTTTTTTTTGCCTTCATTAACATCTAAGCGCTACTATTACACATTTACGATAAAATTATTCAATTTACATTAAATATTATTTCTGAATAATTTTCCTCTGCGTTATGTCAGCCGGCACTTCGCCTCGGACATAGTAATCGGCAGCTTTACTTGCCGTCTTGGCAGTGCCATTGCCCAAATGCTCCTCCTGCTCATCGTGCTTCGCCGACCCGTTCGTGTACTCACTCCTCGAGCTCAGCGTTCCATTTGTGCAGATGCCGAGGACCTTCTCGGTGGCATTCAGAATGCGGTTGCCCTCGGCCTCCCGTTTCCGCTGCAAAACGGAGAGAGAGAGAGAGAAAAAAAGAGAGATTAAGAAAAGGTTATTGGACTGGAATTCAGAACATTTCTTAACACTACACGTCCGAATAAATCTGCCAAAGACTGACTTAACACGACCGAAATTCATTAATTACTATAATTTTATTACTGTTACCCTGTTGGGCGATAAAATATACTGCCATATAATCGTGACTGCTCTTGAATCTTCTTTTTTTCACTCTTAGGACATTTGTCTCACAGTCTTTTGGCGATACATTTTTCGGGGTATTTTTGCATTTTTTACATTTCACCACTCCTTATTTGTAATAAAATATATTACGAAAATGTTCTTGTCGTTCTGTGAGAATTCTTTCCTCCATTAAGTCTCTTTCACACTTACGATTAACATTGATAATTCAATGTTCAGTTTTTGGATAAAGTTGAGTGGTTTTTGTGGGTGGTGCGCGGTCGAATTTCTTTGCAGATAAAATGCCATTGGCACGACGTTTTTGCCTGCGAACATGGCTAAAGGAGAAGACATTCATTTAATTAATGAATATCCATTGCATGATATACTAAAGTGGAGTTTCTGGGTAATTTATTCTACCACGAATGAACATTTGGTGGCCAGAAAAGGATTTTTGGCCATTTAAATCTTTCAAGAAACATGACAAAGATAAAACATTCCGTTTCGTACATTTACCTCGCCTTCCCTTAACGGTTTTACAAGGAAAAATTTGCACTTAAATTTTCGTTGAACTTTTGCAAATGCGACACATTAGTATAATTCATAATCATTTATTGTGACACACTGGTTCTCTCATTGCTTCAAAGGAAATTGAAATGGAGATATTATAGCTAGCTCGTTATTCACTATTTCCCCACCATCGCTGCTTGGTGAAGATACGAGCATAGAATTACACACGTCAACTCAATAACATGAAGTATAAACATATTTCATCAAGATCAATGAGGAAATTGTCTTCAAACCACCACAAGTGGCAACATCTAAGGTGAACAAGCTGAATTCCTACCGTTTTGAACTTCTCGTTCAACATCTATTATGTCTTTGCAACTCTTTACATAACATCAAACATGTGTGATACAAAATTAATTATTGTAATTGATGCAGACAGAAGTGCATTCCAGTTTTCTTCGTCACTGCTCTTTCCCTCCTTTCTCCAGCAACACAGTCTAATAATATTGTTAGTGGAGTGTAATTGAATAGGTGTACATGTTGTACAATATTTGAGACAGCTGACTTTTTGCACACCCATTCGCTGCTCTTTCCTCTCTTCTATCATCCATCCACGGATATTCCACTTGCTCGCGCGCTCCGCATGTACTGACCTTCGAGTGTCGGTAAAGAGAACAGAAGCAAAGATCAAGTGCAGGAGTGCAGCACAAGTAAGCAACTTGACCATCAGAATAAATTGGTCATTATGTGGAATTTATCAAATTGAGATATTATGAGTAGTGCAATACTTCTCTCAAGCCACAGTGAATAAGTGTGTAAGTAAATGAAGCAGAAATTGCAGTCTTCATTCGCATGCAATGTCAATTTGTTCACTTAGTAGCAATCAAAACATTCACTTTCAATCACTGCAATATCATCCTCTTGTTTCAAACACGTGTCGCTCGTCTCTCTTCCAGAGGAAGAAAATGCCAACGGGAAGTATCTCGCATAGAGAAAATTGATTTTATGAAAATAATTCTGCAAGAGCAACGTCCGAACGTGCACTATGTCATCAATTTCCTCTTTGGCATGCGCCAATTATCCACGTAATTTCATTAAAAAGTCATCATTTCTTCTGCAACATTTTCTACAAATTTTCACTACCGCACAATATTTGTTTTTCCATGACAAGAAAGAAACAGTTTAATTACAATAGAGACTCTAAAAAAAGTGTTAATTTGTCATTAAAATAAATTGAACAAAACTATTATTTATTCCCTTCAATTTTCATTCAATTAAACAATGTTTATTTACCATATTGAATGGGATATGCAGTAAAAATTGACGATTTATAGTCATATATAGTTAATGGGGAAAGAAACTTTTTACACCAGATAATAAAAACCGGTATATGTGAATATTATTGCAAATCATTTAGTCAATGGGCTACTGATTGAATGAGTGAATAGGAAAAAAGACATTATTCCTCGTCATTAACAATATACTCAATGCAATTATATCACACAATAAGCTACAATTCAGTTTAGAATACACATGATTGAAATCCTCTGCAAGAACAGGAAAACTTTACTAGTGAGTTGTGAGAACATATTAATTTTATTGCAACACCTAATGATGTGCAATAATACAAAACAGCAGTAGAAAATAATCGGACAACAAATCAATTGTGAGATAATGGATTCTAATCACAATGCATTGGTATCGAGAGAACAATAATTAAATAGGCAGGCAGTAAGCAATCCTATGTATTTCCGCCATTAATTCACATTGAGCAGTCACTGATATATAACATTCAAACTGAATCCGAGGATGACGAGAAATTAGAGACGCAAAAATTCGGTTCAAGAATGGTCACACAGCCAGCGTTCGAGAGATAGTCCCCACCCTATTAGTGTCCAAATTAAGATTAAACCTTGTACACATGTCAGATCATTCACATCATCTTTATCATTGGCTTGACTCACCGTATCTGGCGTGACTCAAATTGCCATTCTTTCCGACATTAGATCGCGATTTGTGAAATGCGAGCATTATTGGTCGCATAAAAGATCCGCGCGCGCGCGTGAAAAGGTCAAGTTCACGAGAACCATATGAGATATTTTTGCGTGGAAGTATTCTAATTATGATTGAGGTTCAAGAGAGAACACCTTAGGAGATTTCCTCTTTGGCGGAAAACAAATTACATCAGACCATCACGGTCAGGGTGATATTCAATGCTTTATGGCGAAGAGGAAAAAAATATCATCTCTAACCGGATTTCATTGGTGCGAAAATCACTAAATTGACACCCAAACGATTAATTAAAAAATCTCTTCCCATTTGGTAATTAGATGTGATCATTTATAATATGAAAGAGAAAGATCTAAAGTCCCCCGATATAAGCCATACTATATTTATTAGGGACACTCACCCTCTCTTTGGCCTCTTTGTAGGTTGACCTGTAGAATTCATTGAAGAGGAAGAAGAACATGACAGCGTGCATGCCAATCCACCACACAAATGCCCTCGGGTAGTTGCAATCGATGAACAAAAGCTGAAATGCGTGCACCATAATCGCCACAAACTGCACCATTTGCAGTGTCGTCAAATACTTCTTCCACCAGAGATACTTCTGATATTGTGGCCCCATTGCAGCGAAGAGATAGTAAGTGTACATCACAATGTGAACGAACGTATTCAGCAAGCCGAAGAATGTGCTGTGACCACCTGTAAAAGAGATGTTGAAGAGTATGAAAAATATGGGCGAAAAAAGAAGATGCAGAGATTATAGAGTGAAAATAATGCCTCTCGCCACGACGTTACACTTTTGCTTTTCACCACAACGGGTTTCGCGCCTTTTTCTTGTAACTCCTCTCTTTCATCATCGATTAACATCGTGAACACTGCACTTGAGAATTCTAGTGCCACATGGAGAGATTGTCAGAAATTTGTTGAAAAATTGAAATAATCACTTGCCTTAAGGGAGTGATATTTTCATGATAAAATGCTCAAATTGTGTTTTAATTGATACAACAAATCTTTCACAGAGTGTATTTGCCGTTGTCGCGGCAAAGATCTGTAATTTGCCACCTACTTTATTATTGCATCTCATCGTGAGTCTGCGACCAAATATTATGTCAATCACTGGCAAAAGCGTGCTTGTATACAAGAGTGTGATATAATTCACAATAAAATTGCACTCTTATTGATACCTTGACGGACATTCATGTAATGTGGCAATTTCCTCGCATCGCGTCCTATTGAACATTAAAATCGCTGAATGCACTCCTCTGCTGCATGTGGCACATTTTTCAGTCAAACTGGGTGGGTCCCTCTCCTTCTTTTTGGAGGCAAAACACAAACCAGAAAATGCACATGGAAAAAACAGACGGAACTACTTTCAAAATACCTCAATTTCAGTAACTCTTTTTTTTTGCCACCACCATTGCCAATGGATGAGAATATTGATTACATAAAGTGTGTATACGATATTTTGCTTTGTTTATCACACTTATGCGTCAGTCGCAAAAAGGCAAAATATTTAAATTGGCACATTTCTTCAAGTGAGGCTCCACAAAGTGTCTCCGTCAATGGAGTGATATGCAAAGTGATTTTAATTTTTTGCGCAATGCCCAAGAGGCGTTAGATATAATTTGGGTGGCGGACACACAAACCAACTAACCTGGTGTGAATTTGACTCCAAACCAAACTGACATTGGCATACAACCGTGATGGATCACGTGTAGTGTTGACACCTGGCTAGTTTTCTTACGCAGTACGAAGAAAATCTGTAGAGAAGAAAATTATTATTATATTGAAATTAGTTGCTGTGTGTTTCTTTTTATCTCGAAATTGCAATTTTTCATGTGAGGGAGAGTCAATTATATTGTGAAAATGACTCCTTCTCTCTTTTGAGTACAAGTATTTTCAATTAACATTGAAATTATACAGAATCTCTAATAACCCTACAACTCATGAGGATGTATATTAAATCAGGTGATGTTTTATTTAGTTAAGAGAAACCTCAACACTCAAGTACAAAACATTGCTTCTATATATAAATTGATCAAAATTAATCATAATTTTAGTGATGATATCTTTCTGAATTCTCATATTTTTGCGTAGAATAAAGAAAATTTGCCAGAAAACAATGAAGAATTTAATTTTGAAGTTATGAAATTTTGCGTCTCACGCCTTCTTATTTGGCAAATGAATATTCTTTTGGGTCATGCAATAATTTAAGTGAAAAAGTAACCATAATATATAGTTCATATTTACCGTGTCCAGAAACTCTGTGAACTTGGAGAAATAGTACCACCAGCACGCGTGCACCATCTGAATTGCATCAGCATTGATAACGCACGAAGAGGGAAGGAGAAAAAGAAGTGTTTCATTACAATGTAATCAGGCACATAAATTAATTACAGAACAAAAAGCCAACAAATTGAGGATAATTGTGTGAACAATAGTAATTTTTTTTTCACTATGCAAGAAAAAATACACAAATATCCACACAATAGTGTTGCCTCAAATAGCTTTTTGCCTTTGCCTTAATACAAACATATGTTCTGCCTTTTATCTCAAAATCTTTCTTCATGATTTTTTTTTCATTGTCAACTCTTGTTACTTTACTCACAACGGTGGAGAACAACATAGCAATTTTGTCAAATGAGCAACACACAGAAAAGTGATAATCGATAAAAGGCAGAAGTTTATCTATTCGGGTGGAAATATAGGTAAGCATTGAGTTGCGATTAGTAAATTAACACTGATTGACTCTCTTCACTGAAGGCTGAATAAAGTCATTTAGTCAATTTTTCGATATCAGTGCTAATTTTCAAATTACAGAGTTATCCACGAAAAGTAAAAAAAAGCTTAAATTACCATACAAGATTAGAGATAATTCTACTAATTTCTACTTCATACATTCACATTAGAATATGAGAAAATCACAAAGCATGCCAAAATAATGCACATAACACAAAGTCTCCAATGCAATCTGCAAAATATCAAATCCATTATTGTTAGGCATTTTTCCTTATTATTTCTTTCAATCTATAAATACAAATCAAGCAAAAAATACTACGAAATAAAATGAATGTTATTTTTGTGAAAAATATTTCGGCAAAGCAATGAATGATGGTCATGCTACAGGAAAAAAGATTCAAACATATTGATATATTGTGTGAAAAACCCAAAACAGTATATTTGTAAATATCATTGAAGTTTGTGAATCATGGTCAATTTGATGGAAAATACTCTTTTCATCTTCATTTGAATTCATTTTAATTTTCAAGAACATTTTTCGTGAAAATCAATTTTTCTACAAGCTGTGTTTTGAGTTCGTCTTTTTAGTCAATAATAAAAAAAAACGTTACTCTTCACAGTTGTATTTCCAATACTTAAAAAATAGTTAGATTATGTAGCCAATTGACAGAACAATTAAGTAGATATACACTGGACAGTAGCACATAATTATTTTAGCAAATGCTTGCATTGCGAAGAAAAGAAATGCACGTGAAGAATACAACATAATTTCAACTCATTCATTGTTTTAGCATACTTTGCATAGCATTGTACGAAACTACCACCCAATAAATGACAAATAAACACATAAAAAGGAGTTTTGTCAGCAGAAAAGCATTTTTTTCCGTTGCAATCGAATCTCTAATCATTGCTGGTTTATTATTTGTCATTTGAGGAAAACAACTCTCTAGAGACTTCGGATGTTTCATATTCTATAACACCTACCCTCAGTGTTCTAGGGTGGTTACTATAATCAACTGGCTGACAGCGGAAGTTATAATGTCCCGTTAGCCAACCGGATATACTGATCTGAAATATCAAATAGACACAAAATAGACCCCACATGTAGTGATATCGATTTCAAGTTGACCGACAATTAATCATTTACAACATTACATAGTATTATTTATTCAACATATGAAAATATTGACCTTCCTGACGAAAAACTTCAACTAAACGGGACAATTTCATATTCTTGATATTCTTGTCCTATATTTAATTGTAATTTTCGAACTTATGTTTTCAACCTCTTTTCTTTCTTTTCACAATATTCTCTCCACAGAGAGAACTTTCCTACATTCTTCTTTTTTTTTTACTCACTTCAAAAAATTGAAACAAATTGTTCTTTCATACTTTTGTAAATGATGTGGTGTAATGTTGTCTTTTTATACCTTTGATGAGGATGCATTTTCTTACAGCAGGCAGAAAGAATATCTCCCCTAGGTCACAAACTAGGGTTAACTTTGTTATTATTCTTTCAAATTATTTTTCGTTCCATGTAGTAAGATATTACAGTTTATCCGACTCCTCCATAATAATATTGTCAATCAAATAATTTTTATAACTAGTTTAGAAAATATGGATGGATGATGTTCAGACCCCGGAAGAAGAGAGAATGATTTTTAATTGGGTAGAGAAGATAAAAGATTATGGTTTTCTGGGTTTGGTTTTAGAAACTGCTTTCCCCCGATATTTTACTTCCGAAATTCAAATTACAGTTTTATCTTTTACTTTTGCCAATATCATCTCCGCTCACTACACTTACTCGGTTTGCTGAGGGGCTATCGCTGTAGTCGACGGGTTGGCATTTGAAGCTGTATTCACCCCACCAACCTCCCATTAAACACTAGAGATAATTGTATTAACAAATATTCTCTTGGTTAATAACCATTTTCTGGCATTAAATTGATAACACTTGGCAATAACCTGGCAAATCTAAACATGGAATCGTATATTCGGAAAGAAATTTTCGTGAAGCTCTTCACTGAACTCTATATATTGCAATTAATTGTGAAAATATGAGATCCTAACGTGATCATAAAAACACTTAAAAACACAGTTTTCCAATCAAAAACGAACAACGCTGTGATTCGCTTTTATAGTATTTGATATTCGATAAAAAAAATGGATATAAATTTTTACAACCATAGAATAACAGTGGTTTTATTTTATAGAATAGCAAATAAAGGAAAAAAAATCTTTATAGTGTCTTTATATTCGAGGAAGAAAACACAATCTCAAGAATTAAAATGCATATTCTTTCTTTATCATTCCTACATTTTCATGAAAGCCAGGAATAGTAAAAAAAAATAAAGATAATTCCATTAAAATGTTTTGCAAATGAACTTACCTCGTAAAACAGCCATGTGCTAAAAATTACTTGCAAAAAATTATAAACTATCAGGGTGTTTTGTAACTGGAATGGTTTCCGATTCTCCATAAGTCGTGGCCCCAAAACCTGCAAAGGAGACAAACATATGCAATATATGTGCATATACACAACATACGACATTACATATAGGCCAAGAGAGAAAATAAAATTGCTAAATTGTTGCAATTCCTCTCTAAAGCTCAACTATTACGGCACAGCTTTTGCATACAGAGTTTCGCGACTGTAATCGACAAAATAAACGCCATGAACAGCCTTAGAGGTGAATTTTATGATACGGTCTTAAGTCGGAATTAACAGTGAAAAAACAGAGCGACAGTTGATAAGCAACGATTGTTCTACTCTATTGTCGATCACATGTGGAATTTGCGCAATCTTAATGAACCGTGATCAGTGAGTCTTTGAAATAATCTCAAGCAGATCTCAAATAATCAGTAATTAGGCGTCAAGCAATATTTCAGTGGCTGTAAACTCGTCACGATTCCTTACAAATCATTTAAATCAATCTCCAATGAGCTATTAATTAATACTTGAGCCCCAGGTTGCTACAATTATGACAAGAAGTGCGAGAGATTATAGTTTTTCTCTCTCTCACTCGATTGCAACTGTTAAGCACTTCTTTTTTTTCCTTCTCTACTACATATATCGTGGAGAGCAAGATACAAACCTTGACAATGTATACATAACATAGGCAGACGGCTAATGTTGGGAATGGTGATGACATCATCGGCCAATCTTTTGTCCGTGAATCTGTGTTTGAGATGAAAACGTATATATTAGACACTGAAAAAAGCACATAGTATATGCTTGAGAAAGCACTAAGAAATTCCATCAATCAACCATCTTTAAAGTTCACGTCTACCATTTCTGCAAAGGGCATGATCTTTTCACTCATTTGCAACAGTAGCACTCTGTCTATAAAATCAATTTTCCTTCATAACAACTGTATAAAGTGTAGACAGTGAGCATTAGTGAAATTTAAAATATTTATTCCACTTTTCATTGCATTTTACACTTGATAAATATAGATAGACTACAGGTTATGATAAGTGTTGTTCCGAGAATTTTCTCACGAACTAACGTCATCAAAGTCAGGTTACAACTAAAAGTCATTCGCATGCCGAGCATAAAAGACAATAAGAAGATTGAAAAATATGTTAAATCTCCAATAGACGGAATTCAATGCAAATGAAGTGGTCTTTGTTGTGTGGATGGCACGTGGTATTGTGATTAAAAGAATTTCGTGCCACCTGATTACCTCAACAGCCGTCAAAGTGTATCTTTACAATTTGCTTAAATATCAATTAGGCCGAGGCGGGCAGCAAAGTGTCATGATTAGTGTCGTGTTTCTTTCTCCACAAGTCAGTGTGGAACAAATCATGTTATAATAGACTCTCTATCGTAGGTCAGTAAGTGTGCAGGGGCAATAAAGACTAGAGTCTGTCATAAAGACTAATAAGTAGAAAATTAATGATGAGAGAGCAATATAGTGTTCTTCACATTCTCGACAATTTTGTACAAATACCAAATTCACCCTACATCAAGGCAATAATATAGCATTACCATGATAGGGATCACAGATGGCTTTCATAGTAAAATATGTATCAGACTTTCAAGATTGATCAAAATTGCGGAATATACTAATGAAATACAATTAATTGCTCTAATCCAATTAGTTTTATCTGCTCTGGATGAAAGGTTGAGTATCTTACCTCCATAGGAGTCCATATATCGCTGCATACTGTCTATATATTTCATAATTAAGGCCATTTTGGTTTCTGTAACGATAAACAATAGAAAGAATTACTTTCTGCCGCAATCACAAAAATTCAGCAAAATTTGCTTAGCCTCAATCATCATCACTGTGATTGTAGCTAACTTTGCAATTAATAAAAATTGTATAAATATTTCTTCCATCAAGGTTGCACACTCATTAAAAAGTTAATTTTATATTACTTTAAAGAATGCGTCAATTGTGTGGATATGTGGGTCCAAGAGTCTTGCGAAATGTGTGTGTATATAAAATTGACACAATTTATTTCACGTGCGCAAGCAAAAAGATGTACACAATGATGAGAGTTACTGTAATGCTGACTTAGGAGTGTATTGAAAAATGTGGCGACTGCGACAAACATAAAGTAAAATTTAAGATACCCAAAGGCTCCAAAAAAATTCTCTGTACCCATAATTTACCGCACAGACTCCACTACAGAGCTTTAAACCTTTTGCCAGACATTTTTTCTCAATTCACTGATTCATCACATGTTATATATGACATGCAGAATATCATTTGCATATTATTTAATAAATTTTATATGAAATAGTAGAGTAAGCACTCGCCAAGATTAAGTGAAACAGTCTGATGGTTAAACAAATATTGAACACATTGCATAATCTTGCCTTCTTCATCACATGCGATAATGAAATAGATGGAAAGTGAGCGATAAGGCAGGGATTTCTCTCATTTCTGCTCATAATCTTTCAATTTTTCAACAATCCCCCTTCATATTGAGGCGCTATCATAGGACACACATTGCTTGCAGAAAGTATAGAATCAAGTCACATGATGTGTATCACACAACCTCAAATTCTTCCACCTTATTTCTCCTATTCTCTCACTCTCTAATTAACTCCCCACAGATGTAGTACTAAAACAGAAATTCTGAAACCCGGCATATGAGATTGTCTATGTGAAAGAGAGGTATGAAGCAACCACAAATTCCCCTTTTCAATGACATGACACATGGAATGAGTTGTGACTTCACCTAATAAATCAATATCACTGGTTTTATCACACTACTACGAATCAGCAGATTAAGGTTTTTTTTTTCTTCTTCCTTCAAACTTTTATTCCTTATCACCGCACCATGAGCACTATAGTGAGTAAACGTGAGCATTGTATTAACACACTTTGGCTCCTCCAACACCACATTATTAACGTCAATGTGCAAAGTTGGGGAAAATTCACTCCGACAGTGGAGTCAAGTGAGGTGAAAAAAGATATGTGATGTGATAAAAAGAACAAGAAAAGCCATGTGTGGAAATTAGATAGAACCTTTTACATAATAGTCACTCCACACTGAACTAAGTCAAATCTCTTTTGGACTTTGGTACTGTAGCATATATTTTGAAGCATGAGAAAGCACACACACACTCACACATACTTTCAAAAATCCAATGGGATTTATTTTAATCCAATCTAAATCCACGACAGAACACAGAGAGAGGTGACATAAAATTCTACTCTCTATGCCACACTAATATTTCATAAATTCTCTGCAACAGTCTCTCAATGCCTGGCCAATAAAATTTTCTACACACTGTTCAAGAGCCAAATAGTCAATGAGATGCGCGTAAGAAATCCACAAATAATGCGAATTTTAATTTACAAAAGAAGAAAAAAAAATTTCTCCAGTATGAAACGATAAAAAGGCGACTCAACCGTTCGAATTAAAGCGCTTTGGGTTATATAATTTTTTTAATACACCACACACTCCTCTTGTCACAACCTATAAAAAGTTTCAGTGGTAGAAATAATTAATTTTTTCTCTCTCTTCCAACTCTTTTTTATGCTGGCCCATACTTTTCTCCACCACCACATTCAAAGATGACACATTAATCACTCGCTTGATTGCAAAATTCTGACGAATGCCTCAGATAAAAATTGCACACAGATTATTACTTATCACGGCACACAAATTGGCTGTACTCTTCTAAATGAAGATGTGGAAAATGTGTTAGATTTTCCCACAATTCTCAACTACATCAAGAGTCTCTATCTCTCTCTCTCTCCCTCTTTCTGCTTCTCTCCAGAAAAAAAAACTGATGAACAAATGGCTAAATGTGCGGATGAAAATGTATTCCATATACTTTGGGATTTCTATGCGATGATAAAAAGCCCAAAATGCCGTGACATGAGATTACACACGAGGCCGAATAAAATGTACCAGTGGCTGAAGCGTGGTATTGAAAAAAATTGGTGAATACCGAAACACTCTCGCGTTGATTTTAATTTTAGTATTTAGAGTCACACGATGAAATGAAAAAGAGCCAGGAGGATTTTGTAGTCTCCTCAATGTGTTGACGAGACTCAAATCAAGAACCAACTGACGATAGTCACCCGTTCACGATCATACGGTGGTGTCGGCTCCGCTGAACGACAAATAGTCAGGCGCGAAAATAAAAGGTGTGGTGGGAGTTGAAGCTCTCCGCATATAGTATTTTATGTACCACAGCGCCAGCAAAAGTGTATGGAGCAGAATATAATATGGAGAGGAGAAGTATGGAGTTTTATACGATTACATACGGCAATATGAGCACACTATACATTACAATCAGAAGGAATGTGTCTCTCCAATGGCCACCACTTCACCGTATATGCATATACATAAAGTGATTACACACGAATTCCATATGTACACATCACAATCCGAGGGGTATAAATGAGGTGTGTATTGGATTTTGGGGGAAACCAAAGCTCGCAATGCTCTGCAAAAGCTTATACTCTCATTTGCATCATCTCGCACTGTCTCTCTTTCCTAACACAGAAAAACCACTCAGAGCAGCAATTCACACAAACTCACATAGCCCAAACACTCTATCCCCCATTCATTCATGCAATTCATTCACAAAAAAAGGCGCCCAACAAGGAGAGAACAATGTGAAATAGAACCGACAAAAGTCATCAAATACCAATTGTCCCAAAGAAAACCTACATTTTTCTTTAGGGCACACACGATATACCAACAATGCACTTGCTACATTGCCATGCATCTATTCCAAAAAAAACCCATTTCATTTAATTCCACTTGCTAATTACACCTTGACTGCAATCGAGGACAATAATACCTCAAGTGATACTTTCCAATGCAAATGAACCTCAACTATAAGTGCACTGTCATTAGGTGAAATAATAACTTCCGAACTCCGCCACTCGAGTGGTTCATTGCATTTCCCAGAGCTCATTCTATCAGCAATTGACAGAACACACTCAAGAGGTCACGAGTACAATTCAATATCCTTGGCGATTTTCTTGTAAAATGAAGAATATACCATTGTCTCTTTGTTCATTTCTTTCGCAACATCTCTACTTTTTTATCCTACATATCTCTTCCTTTTGGCTCAAAACCCAGTACTGAGAATAGGAAAACTCGGAACCAATTCTTTGCCGAATCTCCCAAACTATATACTGTTTATAACGGTATGAGATACAACTTCACATGCCATCAATACCTCTCCAAATTGATAACATAACTCAACAGTCATCATTTGCCTCATTAGTGGCCTAATCCTTGTTGTGTTGTGTACTTGAAAACTTAATGGAATTTTCACCTCAAGTAAAATCATTTCTGGAATTTCGTATCTTTTTGGGTGAAAGTAACCTCTTTGTGAATTCTGTGTAATACCCTCAACTCTCCCCACCTCACTAAATGTTTCACCTCTCGATGTCACAAATACAGGTAAAGCTCCGGAGTATTTACCAGAAAATAAAAGATGTACTAAGAGTAAAAATTGTGTCACTGGCAAAGTTATGACCTAATGAAATTATTCATCATAAAAAAACATCATAATGTATGATAAGTTAATTGAATACAGAGAATTTCAACTGCGGTGCTCAACATTGCTTCCCTGTATGGCCTTTTAGAGAGTGAAGAATAAACTATCAGCACGTGTCTATTTTAGTATATCGTCCTTCGATATCTTTCATCGAGTGCTACACTTTAAGTACAGTGGCAATGAATTGCTACTATATTTCAAAATTGATCACAAAACTATTCGTTATTATGATGAAAGACGCGACAGAAAAGTCAAAAGTATTAAGGAGACAAGAGGCATAAAGTAGACAATTAGATTAAATTATACAATTGTAAATATGAACTTCTCGCTCCACAATTTATCTTCACTGCAATCTCTGTAATTAACTATGATACATTTTTGTGAGTCAAAATTTTTCACATAGCATTCAAATTGCATTACATTTATACCGTCTATTGCAAATGGGCATTAAGAGTTTTTAGGATACTTCTTATGACTGCAAGATATTTCGGTATATTTATTGCGAAAAATTGGTAATTTTACCATTTCCTAATACCACACTATTCCTCTCACTCATAAATTCTGTCGGCACAAAAATTACGTTGTCATCAGAGAGACTCATCATTTCACGAATGAAAAGAAAGAAAATTGAAATCTTTGTCCTACATATTTTCGGTATGTTAGACAGGGAAAAAAAACAAGATAAACTACTTCTTCGTCCAACACCCTCTTCTTTCGTGCTGATAACTCTATTCCGCCACGGAAAAAAAGCGCAAGAGAAAGATAAATTGTGCTGTCTTGCAACTGAACGGGTTGACCAATAAATCCTCATCAATTTTACATTTAATAATCCTCGCAAAAAATACAACGAATCAAGCATTTATTCGCATCATCAAATGAGACGATATAAACCCCAACAAATAAGAATTACTCATTACTTCAGTGCAATTAAATAATTTGCAACCATTAAATTATTGAGAAATTTGTAGAGTATAATGTAAAAAAGTAGACACCCATGTTACTTTTAATTGCCGCTGGCTCTCTTTAGTGCACTGCCCACTATTAAAGCGTTTAGCTTCATGCACGATTTTATCGGTTCTTATTTTATCTTATCACTTCATCAATCACTGTTGCCATTTTTGTATTAAGTTTCAGACACAAAATTAGAGATATATTTTCATTTCCTTTCTGTGTCAGGTGTTGTGTGAAGTTGGCATTCTACAGAATTTTAGGGTAATAAGTTAAAACAAGGTTTATTAAATGGGAAATTCCGCACAAGAATTGTTTGGCAAAATCTCTGAAAACTCACTGAAGCATAAAATAATAAAACATTAGCAAGTCAATTAATTGAAAAACGACCAAATACTGGAATTGGTCAAGTAAAAACAATGTGCTACTCTAATATGTATTAAAAAGCTGACCATTATGGTAACTATCTAGAATCTCATCGGGTAAATCACTTAAAGCATCCAAATAACATTTTGTTCATTCCTCGCTTATAGAAAAAAAAATTAGGTTATTCATGAAAAACGAACACAAAAGATCCAGAAACAATTTAGAAGAATGGGGAAGTGATACAGACTTTAGGGCGCCGACTGCACAATTTATCGATCTACACCCTCTCTATTTCTCCTACCAAAATGCACAGTATAGTTTCCCTTCAACCCTTCAATTTCAAAATTACTACTTGAGATATTTTGCAGTCCTACGCAAAATGCATAAAAAACACGCGACAGACATATTACACTTAATTGTACTTTTCCAACCACTAAACACAAAGCTAATATCGTCTCGCACTTTGCATGTCATCCATATGCATATTTCGGCACATCAATGAATATTTATCAAAATAATTAAGTACACAAGAAATTAACGCGTTTAATTGGTAAATTGCAACTCATCTATGATTGTCAAATGAAGTGGCAACATTTGCACTCACCTTGTCTACCGTGAATGAACAAGCAATAATATTTAAGCGGTCAAATCTTTTGATTTCCCCCGCGAAACGTGACCGAATTTCAGCTTCTTTAACTCAAATATTCCCATGGAAGTTGCAATGTTGACCGAAATGTGCGTATAGAATTATTGCTCAATTAATAAAACAAGAAAGAGATTTTGCATATTACTGAATATTCATATGACCGTCGAAATATGTAGATAAGCAGATGTAAAAAAAAACTTACAAATGCCATATACATGAATTGTAAATAAGACTTTGCCGCAGATTAATCTTATGTGCACTATATTAGAAAAATATGAGACGAGTAAAAAGTACAAGAATTGACACCTCATAATCCCAAAACATGAACGACATCGTGGAGGTTGATTTCGCAATCATTTCTGAGCAGTGCGTAAATTTCAGTCGATTTATTGGTTAAATTTATAGACCATTCAAAACCCTTTTCATTTTCCATTTTCCAATCTGAAGCATGAAGAAATAATACCCACATCAAGAAAACATCTTCACGATCTGTTTTATAGGTGAATATCATTAAAAGGTCACAATATCGCGCGTCAAAATAGTGTGCAAGATTGTGGTGAAATTTGATAATAAAATTACAATATAATCAAACATGTTGTGCTGACCTTAGATGAAGAACTGTGGACTTTTCCCTCTACTCTCCCTCGCTCACACTCTTCTCGGTGCAGATGAAACCGCAGGTACTCGTGTTGAGCTCAATTGAATCTGTAATAGTGGAAAATAATAATTAATAATCCATTAGATTCTGAGAAGAGTAAACAATTTCTCAGAATGAGAGGCTGACGTCTTAAAATCATTCTATTTCGTAATGACTACTTTAGCATCAAAGACTGCGCAACAATTCATTTACAAGAACATGTCAAATGACTAGATTAATTTTACACGCTGTAATTTGAGAAAGATTTGTATCCAGAAATGAGATTTCTTTTTTCCCCTTATTCGTAAGATAAATGAAGCGTGTGCATTATTTGGAATTTGGCGTTGAATAAATTTTCTTATAGCAATATCTCACAATTTATCTATTTTATCATGATGAAATATTTTTTTTTTGGCAAGTATGTACATATTCTTTTGCTCTTTACGATGTACACCAATGCTGAAGAATTATTTTTAGACAAAATGTAACTAGTTGGACGATCATGTATGAGGAATCCTAGCAGCATCTCTTCACTCTAACACCAACACTCAGCCCGTAATATTTTATTCACAATTACGTCATTTGGCTATGATAATATTCCATACAATATAATTAACAATAGCATATACAGTGGCAGTATTACACACAATATTTAAAGGCATTTAAATTGGCAAATGTCCAGAAGAATTCAGACGTAGTCGTTATGTAGCCTCTCTCAAATTGAATTCGTCATGAAAGTGAGGAAAATTGGGCACTCATCCAATACATTAAATACACTTTGCCTTATATTTTTCTCCTCTTCCTCACTTTTTACTTGATGTAGATGATTTATATAGAGAAA